TGACGGATACTATTTTCAAAGACTTCTTTGTCCATAAGATGGCGTTTGAATTAGGAACTTGTTTAGCCAGATTCTCTTGTTACAATTTACTGATTCATTGGGTGGAGAACGGGTGGGCAGAATGATAGAGCCAGGCAGCCTCAGCTAATGATTTTTTTTAAAAAAGATCTCATTCAAGCACAAATGCATCTTAAAATATATAGAATTAGAGAGCAGAAACAATTACCAATTTTAACCTATTTCTGCCTCTAAATGGTCTGCTGGGGGAGAATTAGTTATTTTATCAGTACTTTTCAAAGAAAAGTTGCAAAGCTGTAACAGATGAAGTCTATGGGGTTTCTTTGTTTGTTTCCTTAAAGAAAAGAGGTGATGGAGAAAGATTTTTTGGAAGAAAAAAGAATATCCACATCTCTTCTCATCCCTCAATGAGATCGTAACCAAAGTTACTTTAAATATCAAGATTAGTAATATGGGAATTAACTTTCTGCTTCAGCTTTAGAAGAAGCAAAAGAGAAGGATCAAATTCAGGTCCAACACCTGTTTTGCACAGATATAACTCTGTTGACTTCTGTGAAATTATTTATGGATCACATCAGAGTAAATAAGTCTGGAATGAGTTCCAATGAGATACTTATGCAATACACCCAAGTCTTCTACTTTCTCCAGCGTGATGCAAGCTGCTTTGGTGACGAGTCCCATCTACACCGGGAGAAGCACCAGTCCCTGGCAGTGCCAGAGGAAGTGCTCTGCTCTCGTCCATCCAGACTGGGACAGTTTGTACTCTGCTCTTGTAAAATCCTGGGTACCTTCTCTGAGCTGCTGAACACTGGTGATTCTCGCAGCTTTTACTTTTGTTTGTAAAGTTTCTTGGAAATCTCCCAGGGTGTCTGATCTTACTGTTGGGGGAAGGGGAAAGATCTGGACTGGTCTTGTGCAACCTCAGGCATTTAATTCGTCCGTCATTGCTTCATAGGTATATGTTACAGAGAAGGTAATTCTCAGCTTTCTTACTCACAAAAAGAAGCCAGTGGTCCAAGTTTTCTTTTCTTTTGGTTGACAAAAGAAAAATTAGTATATTTGGGAGACTCATTCCCATTCTCTCCAGATCTCTCTCTCCCTCTTTAAACATACGCGTGTGTGGTCATTAGAAACACCATGCACACATAAATCCAATTTTTCCCAGAATTAAAGTAGCAAGAAATATTGAACCCTGAAGACTATGTTAGTGATATAAATAATATATACTTTTTATGAAGTCCATTTTCACATCACAGGTTTCTTTAGATTAATTTTTTCAACTTTCAAGTTCCCTTCTTTCTTTTTTTTTTTTTTTTCCATTTGCCCCTCTCAGAGCAGCATTCAGTATAGGTACTTGACTGTGGGGAAGGGAGACTTCTGAATGAACTTTAGTCAATTTAATAAAACTAGAACAAATCAATAAGCCACCCAGGCATCTAATGCTCTCAGTATTCCCACTGACGGTTCCACAACATCAAACAGTATGGAAAACGTTTTCAAGGTAAGTCCTCTGTATTTTGAAGCCGGTCCCTAAAGGCAGAGAGATGGAGGTTTTCTTGGCCTACCTGTTTAAAATGGGTCATGCTCTGCATTCGCAATAGGCTCAGAGCCAGGCATAGTTCTTCAAAGCAGGAGCACCGGGGCAGTGTGCTCTGCTTGGGCTGGGAGTACTCCTCAGCCCCGGCCAGGGAGGTGGCATGAGGGGCATGCTGCCCCTGTCTTCTCAGCTGCATTCAAAAAGCAGCTATCCCTTTGCTTCAGCTGGTGTGTTGAGAGCACCTACTCTTCTCTCCGTGCAATCTCGACTCATGCTTCGTGCCATCCTGAAGCCAAATCCTGACCTGGCATCTCGGGTTTCAGCAGCCACAGCCTTGTGGTCTAGCTGCAAAGCACACTCATGAGCAATTTCTAGGAGATAGGCCAAATGGAGCAGCATCTGCCAAGCTGCTATGTAAGTGCCCTGCCGTGACCCTTTCTGCAAGAGGCTGTGCCACCACCTCAACCGACCGCCACGCTCGCAGGGAGATGCTGTGGAGACTGGTCTCCAAGCATGTGAAGGCCTGAGGGCCCCAGGCATCTGCTAAACCTGCACTACTAGGGCAGTTCTTCTATCCTAGCAGTGGAAAAGAATCTTCTGATAGTAGCAGATATGCTTTGCCGATGTAACATGTATCGGTTCCCAGAGAGCAGATGCTATACAAGCAAAGCTACTTTTGTGGATACAGCTACCTTATGGCTTTGCCTCTCTAAGAACGCAAAAGCAAGATGCTTCCACTGGCAGGAATTTCTGGCTGGATTGTGTAGGAATAGTGGGATATTGCACTGCTGCTGGGACAACTGCTCGTGGGGAGACCAGTCATTTCTCTCTTTTCTTCCTCCTTCCCCTACCCCTTCTTCCCTCCCTCCTCCAGGTGAAATTGTCTCTACCAATCCATTTAAGTGCATTTAGTCTAAGGATATCTGTCAAAACAGAGAGGCTAATCTGTGGTCACTGTTCATCCAGGCCCAGAGTGACCCTGAGCCCTGCCAGCAGCCGCTGGTAAAGCTAACCTGGCTCTAGGAGCGTAGCCCGTGTTGCCCTCCATGGGGAGGAGGGTGCCTACACGGGCTACGGGCTTCTGTAAATACCACTTGTGGTCTGCTAATGCTCTCTTCTGTGGAGTTAAGAAGAAAAGGTGAAAATCAGGGTACTGAGAGAGCCTTAGTTGCACACTGCCATACTCTACTCATGATTAGCTCAGACCTACGTTTTCAGCTGCACAAGCTCACATGGCTGATTTTGTCTGTGAGGTCTAGGGAGTTCTCATATAAACTGCTCTGGTGCTGGGGCGGTGGAGGAGACAGCTTCTGCGAATGCAGCTGTATCGGCTGAAGGGGAGTTGTGCTGGCGCAGACTGGCTCCCTCAGTGCAGCAGAGGACGTCAAACGGCAGGTCTTTTGGATGTCCCCTCAGCAACTTTGCTCCTACCTCTCTATTAAAGAATCAAGAGCGTAGGCATAACTTTGTTGCCCCAAGTATGTTGGAGAGGCCCCTCAGCTCATCGCTGAATCCACTTCTTGTGTCAAAGATGGGTGTGCAGCTCTTAAAATCTTTCTCTCAGCAGTTATTAAATAATAGGTGACTTTCCCAGGTGAGCACCAGCTCATATTTACCAAATGATTGCACAGAAACTATGGGGTCCTCTGCTAATCCTCACAGAAGAGGTTTTGGACCCTTCACCATAATTTTCAGAAGTGGCTGCTGGTTCTGGGGTCCCTGAAGTGAGATCCTGATTTGGCTGCCGGAAAGGCCGAGGAAGTCAAAGGAGGGGACTGCGCTCTGAGCTTTTGGAAATGAGAGGCAGAGTTTTCTTTTAGCTGAATGCCCGCAAATCAGAGGCACCCCAGACCAGTGACCGCATCTGAAAAACTTTGCTTCGTTCATGCTCTTTTGGTATGCCAGCCTTAGACTGGTATAAAAGTGACTGATTTTTGGCTGGATTATCCCTGAAATATTCTGGTAGAAGTGCAAGGGAACCAGTCCTGCTCCTCATTGTGCCCCAGTGAATAGAAGTAACATTTCCCACTAGAGAAGGAATGTTAGCAGTGACTTTAAAAACCAAGCAAACAAGGAAATACATTCAATTGTGCTAGTGGTGGAGGGGATTTATAGCATGTTGTGAACTATCCACTTCGGCCCCGAGTTTAAGCAGGGGGGAGTAGGGAACTCAGGGAAACACAGTTCCCTTGTTAAAATGAAATAATGACTTTAATATATACAGGCAGAAAGAGGACAGAATGTGAGGCAAGTCGTTTCCCTGATAAATATTTACCATTTGAGCTCTGCTTAGAATCCTGTTTTTGTGTATCTCTAAAGGTGGTGGTACTTGTGATAGTAGGATATGTTTCTTAATATATTCCTCCCTCTCAACCCACCTTGCATGGGAAACGGCCATGGTAACAAAAAGCAGACTGTTCCCTCCTCATGAATATTAATCAGTAAACTCCCCCTGCTATTTTAAATCGAAGACTGGTGCTAAAGCCCTTTTTTCCCCCACTCAAGCATCCCCCGAGGAAAACCCTGAAAGTCCTGGGAAAGCCGTGCACAGAGGCTGCCGTGACTAGAGGCCTTCTAGGCAGTGACATATAAAACTCTGAGGTCAGGGGGCACAGCAAGAGGAGGAATCAGCTTTGTTTCCGCTATGTGTTGCTGAAAGCTAAACCTTTATGGAACTTTGCTAGCTGCATTTTTGGCTATTTAGCTTTGAAAACAAAAGATTTATTTATTTTTTCCTATTCATCGCAGTTTTTGTCCTAAGTTGACAGCAGTGACATAAGAAGGACCCTCCCTGTTCTGAGCTGGAGCAGTGTATGCTGCATCAGCCATTGCTGTTTTTGAATAAATATTATATGATCTTTAAAGGGAGGGAGAAAAGCAAAAAAATGATTGCACAGAGCCAATATAAACACCTATGAAATCAGTCCTTTTTTTTTTAAGTAAGAAAATTAAAACTCTCCCTGGCGAGTAAAACACATTGATCAGAGCATGTATAGTACTAGATGTTGTCCAGAAATCCAGCTGTATCTCTTCACAATCCACTCAGCTTCAGATCAAACCAGAGAAATATTCCTAAGGAGATGGGGTGATACAGCCAGAGGTTGGCTTGACTCCTAGATAACCCTGAGCAGTGCTGAATAATTCTTTGAACTCAAGGCAATTTGTGATTGTGTTCAGAAATAACACACAGCCTTGCCAAACATCCAAGAGAGTATCGGCAACCAAAGTGTATTTTTCCAGTGCCGGTAGTGATAAGACGACGTAGAGTTTTGTTGTTTTCTCTTTGGGCAGTGCTAGCACTTGTGGCGTGCTAGAGGATTTCCCATGCTGAGGATGCAATTCTTGCCTTGAAGAGCGTGCTGTCAAGAATAATGTTTTAAAATCTTTGTCCTTTATCAAAGGATCTGGATAGACGTTAAAGAATGTTATGATCTGTATCTTACAGCTCTGGAAACTCAAGCATGGAGGGGTGACATGACTTCCTCAAGGTGATCTGATGAGCCAGTGTCAGACCAGGAATAAAATACTGTGTTTCCGGCCTGCTATGTGGATTCTGCATCACATCATGCTGAGAAGGTCAGTGCTGGGTGCTGTACCGACTAGATTTGACTTACTGGTTCAAGACTCTGTGTGAAAGATGCTGGTTGCTACTAATGAATGGGAGATGGGATGGAAGGATACATTCAGGCCATCAGCCCTGATGGACCTGTTTTTTTGTTGGCTGCTGAAAGCTTGCAGTTCACAGGGAGCAACTGTTAATGGCACAAAGCCTGTGACAGAATGACAGTAAAGATCACAGGACAGGCTCTGAATGGACGTAGAGGATAAACACAGCTCAGCCCTTGGGAACTTGAGGACATTGCTAGGGCAGTTGGTGGGAGTATGATGTTTTTTGCTGTTCCTGTTTTGCCCGGTCTGTACCTAAGAGTATACATTTCATCAAAATCAGCTGTGGACACACAACTGAACTGGTCAGCTTTTCCTGATTTATGCTGGTTGCGACGAGAGAGATGATATCTGATTCATGTAAAGACGGAGCGGCATGAATCAAAAGTACCTGGCCCAGCATAAAACTTGCTAGTATGAAGATAAGCCTTCACAATTCCGTAAACAATTCAGGGCTTGAAGAGTAAACACACGCGAGATCAGCATCATACATTAGGTAGCTGCAATGTTTTCGGTACAGAGCCCTAAAACCACATGTACTCGCACATTCTGGGAGTGATTCTGAGTTAGATGTCCAACTGCAGTCATAGGAAGAGATCATCAGGCAGGACTTGTCCTTTATACTTGCAAGATCTGGATAGGTTGAATGGCCCTGATGCTAGTACGAAGAGATGTATATGTTCTGCAGCAGAGTCTCTCAGGTAAAACTCCCGGTGCATTGCAGAAAGTTCAGGAGGGTTTATCAAGCTGCAGTTGGCTTGCTCAGGACTTCTCAGAGGAGATGGCAGCAGTACAGTTCTTCCAGGACACAGGAATGAAAAGCATCTGTAACTAGTAACTACAGGTATGAACATGTATCAGCAATTAGAAGTAGTTAACAGTTTCCTGGCTCCATTAAATACTTGCAACCAAAATTTACTCTAGCTTCTCACTCCAGTCGATTGTGATGAACAAGATAGCAGTAGTGTCAGTCAGTTTTAATGGAGTTCTTCAGATGTGTGGAATGTGAGAATGCAAGTGTTTTCTAAAAGATTACACATTTCAAATTGAAGTATTTGCCCATGGACATATTTTTTGAAGACTGTGTTGCATGACAACAAACAAGCCAAAAAGAGATCAGAATTTCTAAAAGTTGGAAAAGTTTATTCTAAACGTACAGAAAGAATGCAACAATTGTCTGTTTTGGAAACTGCCCCCATGACAATGTTTTATAAAAGTGTAAAATCAAGCAGTTAGCACTTAGGCCTCCCATGTAATGTGTAACTGAGAAGCATTTTCTGAAATGGACTTGACCCTGGCAGAATTTGTGAGAGATTAGAAGCACATCTTGAGAATGGGTTATTTTCTCTCGACTAAACACTTTTTGGGAATCCTTCTACCTTTAAGCCAAGAGGCCATATTTTGTCATTAATGGATGCAGATACTCACCGCTATGTTGCCTGCGGTATACTGGCAGTAGTGAAGAATTTCTAACAGGCAGGTTTAGCACTCCAGAGATCATGCAAAATTGACTCCCAGTCTCAAACTTGTGGTTTATTCTGAAAGTGTTACTTAGCCCAGCTGTGCTCATCTGCACTCATCTGCCACGCTTAACCCTCCCCAGCCCTTCAGGAGAGGGGAACAGAGATGCTGAGACATTAGCAGTGAAGACTCCGGGTGCAATACTCTTCTCCTGGACATCACTCAGCTATTACTCTAGATCCCAGAGGTGGCCATGCTTTGGAGAGAGGGTCTGTCTCTGGCCCCCTCCACCCATCATAGGCTGTACTGCCACTCACACTCATCATATTTGGGTAGTTTCCTGTGACGCACATCACAGCAGAATCCTTATTGCTATTTTGGACTTCAGTTTTTCCCCCATCTGCCCTGTTAGTCTCTCTATTTCATAAATTTATCAGGTGACGTCTCTTTCTCCGTGGCATTCTCTCTTTACTTATCTAGGGATTTGAATACCTCCCAGTTAGTAATTTCTTGCAGAACAATGTATGCCATTGAGAGTACAGTCTATAGCCAGCTTGCCTTTCACTTTCCTGTGTGACCTTTTTAACTTTGTTATTTCAGAAATATTCACTCCTGAAATTTTACACGCTTAAGGCACCTAAAAGAAAATTCTCCACTGGTAAAGTTATCTAAACAAACTAGCCAAACCTTGAAAGGGTATCATTTCCCTTGAAAGTGCATCCTTACAGATAATTGATAGCATAGCCGTCTTTCAGAGCAGATGGTTTTCTTTTGGATACTTGCACAAAATGAAGTATGAGGAGCAAAGTAGCCCTTATACTCTCAGAACAGAGCCTGCCATTGCTTCTTAGACTAAAATCCACATTCCAGAAGGGTGCAAGCTAATAAAAAGAATCCTTGCGTTTCACCTGATGGTAATTACTTTCACTGCAAGAGAAAAATAATTTCTCTACTTTCATTGGTTTTTACTCTAATATTTGCTATTCTGTGATATTAAATATATGTGTATGTTGGGGGTGTATATACATATATGTGCAATGAACATAATGTTGCATGAAACGTAAATATAAGGATATATTGCTGTTTATATTTACATTTCTCTCGTGTTCTTCTTCAAGGAGATTTGCAAAGGGGTAAAGTCTATGTCTTCCAGGCAAATAAAACCACTTCTGGTGTGGAATGAACACAGTGTTTTCAGTGCTTTATAATAATTTCTAATAGTTTAGGTTAGACTTGTCCAGCCTTTTCTTTTGGGGGAACCACCACACAGGTTGTAATAATATAACAGTACTTGACTTCTGCATTGAGCATGGGAAGAAGCCTGGCGTCAGCCGCTCCTTCCACCCCTGTGGAGAGGCTGTAGGTGCTGAGCTGTTCACAGGTACAGGAAAGGCCAGGCGGTTATTCTGGCATCCTGTGCTGTGCACTGCCCAAGCAGCTGCTCTTCTTCCTCCGCAGGGAAGGTAGCAGGACAGATGGGAGCGTCTTGGAGGATGGGTGGTCTGCTGGGTGGATTGTGCTGATTAGGAGAAAAAAAGTATCAGTTTAAGATGGCAGGAGGATTGCAGGGAGGCAGAGATGAATGCGAACTTGGACAGTGCTCCTTTTCTTGCAAAAAATGTCTTGCTGTGATTTTCTGGGTATCAGTGCGGAGGTAAGAAAACACCTACTCAGTCAGTGACAGCCTGACTGGGAAGTGTCTCAAAGATTGCTTGTTTGTGCTTTGGTGTGGGCAGCCACAGGACTGTGCTCTCCTGAGCTGATGAGAATAGGTGGCCATGAGAGGAAGGAGAGGATGCTGGGTGTAAGGGCAGAATAAGTAGGGAAACCTAAGCCTTCTAAAGAGATAACACTTGGGTGTCTGTCCCTGGGAACCATAACGGCGACACAGTTCTCCCACTTTTTGCCATTCCTCCATATGAGCGTTTGGCAGAAGGGACTGCAGGACCGGCAGTGTGAGTTGTGCAGAGGTGATGAGAATGATCAAACCTAAGGACAATGGTTGTGAAAACAGAGCACTGATTGATTGAGCTATTATTCTTCTGTAGTCGGGCAAGATTGGCATTAATACTAAATTCTGGAGGGGTATATACCTGGAGACCATGTTAGGACCATACTTAAATTCTTCGTGATCCTTTTATTTTAAATTCCTTTTTTTTTTTTTTTTTAACATTTACTACTTTTTTGCTTCGAAGAAACTGCTTAAGCAGACCTAAGCAGTAGCACAGGTGATTCATGTAACACTCATCAGTATGTCCAGCTTGAGTAACGTTATCTGATTCCTGGAAGCCTTATCCTTTCCATCTCCACTTTTTTGTTCTGCCCTCATCTTACATTGTGCGTAGTCTAGAAGCAGGCAAGGGCAGGGACCTTGCCAGGTCATGTTTTTGCAGCGTTTGTACAAGAGGGCCCTGATCCTAATTTTTGAGCCTTTAGGGAACAGCCTCAGTCAAAGCAGCTGTAACGCAGAGCCTGCCTGCGGACTGCAGGAAGGGATTACCCTTTGATGGAGTGTGCTGTAAGCGGCATCGCGCAGGCTTGCGTGGCGTGGGGCTTGTGGAGGGGCTGACCTCTTTGCCAAAAGCCTGCTGTGCTGGCAGTTCCCTGCTCAGGTCCCAGCCCAGATACCTCCCCGAAGCACCAAGTGCAGGCATGAGGCTGAGGCTGGGAAAGCACGTGATGTGCCTTTGCATGGGCTCAGCCTCTCATGCATGTGCCCTTTGGGCCTTGGCATAGCCAGGCTTCATGAAAGGCAGAGAGGAGGAAGGTCAGAAGATGAAAGGCTCTTCAGAGTAAAATCCTCTGCAGAGATGCAAGGCAGAACTACTTTGTCACTAAATTAGACTGGACTTTCAAAGCACAGGATGACGAAGCGTCTGACGCAGTAACGCAGCCCTTGTAAGTGCAGCGTGTGGGAGGCAGCACAGAAGAGGGAAGGGAAGGGAAGAGGGTTGCTCGGCAGCTGGCTCAGCAGCTGGGCTCCGCCAGCTCCCATGCAAGCTGCTTCGTGTCTCTTGGTAGCCAGTTTCTTCTCTGGCCAGGGCACTTGGCATTCCCTGAAAAAGGGTCTTAGTTCTCCTGCCCAGGGGCAAGGCTCTTCAGCAGACATGAGCCCTGAGAAAGCAAAGAGCCGGTGGCCAGCACAAAATTATTTTATGCACAGGATTTTAAGGCCTGTGCATATTAACAGATTACCAAACAAGAGATAGTGGCTTCTAAACTATATATTGGCAAAACTGCTTTCAAAAAAAGCTAGGTAGCCTTAAATGATATGATTAAATCCCTATCAACTTCTCTGTCCTTATTGAACTCTGGCTTGAAGGCTAACCCTTTTCACACTGAAGTCAATGAGTGCCTTTCTGTTAAACTCAGTGAGCACTGGATGAACGCCCATCACAAACTGTGTAACTCAGAACCATGTGAGAGTAAATAGCCCCCTGCTGAAATTT